AGGGTTGGGGGTTTTGGGTTTTGGGGGTTTCGTGTCTAACGGCTTAGGGGTTTGGTTGGGATTTAGGGCTTAGGCAAAGGGGGAGCTGTTGCTTTGAGGGTTTAGGGTTTGGCCCTCCAAACTTTACCGTTTTGGAGCTTGGACCTTATGCGATGTTCCTCACGACCATCACCTCCACCAGCGAAGGAGCAGTCAATCCGATCAAACCGGGAAGCGAATCTGATGCACCGCTTCCTGGAACCCTAAACCCTAAGAATCTCCAGCATTTCTGCCACACGCTTGAGACCCACGTCCGGCAGCATCAGAACGATCGCATCATGCAGCATCTTGGGTTCCAAGGGATCCATCAAGGATTCACCCTGAACCTCTTGCAGGCTCTTGGACTTCTGAAGATCCGGTCTCTCGATCGGTGAAGACTGTGAACTCGGGACCTTGACACCCAACCCACCCCAACTCCCCAAACCCCATAACCGCCACTCCCAGCCCCAAAAAAAATCCACACCGCAAAGCCCGGAGCCCGAGAATCCTAAACCTCCACGGCCCAAAACTGTCAAACGCGAGATCCCCAACACCAAGCTAGAATGCGATTTTAGGTGGTATTATGGGATAACTCTATATGGGCAGAACTCAAAATTAGGGTCCACGTAAGGCTCCTTTTAGAAGGGAACTACCCTCAAAATACCCTGATAGAAACCCAAAAGAAACCCTCATAGATCTCTTTAAGGACCCATTGTACTATACCCATGTGGACTACAGTGAAACCGCTGAGACGATTGCCTCAGTATCGGCCATGGCAGCGTCCGGCCATGCGGCAGCAGGTTTAGGATGGTTTAGGGTTTAGGGTTTAGGGTTTAGGGTTTAGGGTTGAGGGTTTAGGGTTTAGGGAGTTGACCCCTAGGGCTCAGCAAGAGACGTCGGGCGGCTCTCGAGCTTTGTGTCTGGCTTGTAGGGGCGCTCGGAAAAGGGCCGAAACATGGAATGTGGCTTGGGAGATCGTTGATTATGCAAGAAGCGCAAGCAATGGAAACTGCGCTCTGAGGCACCGCAGTGGTACTGCAGTCTGCCGCGGGAGTCACGTCAGGGATCAACGCTGGTGGCTCTGTTGGCTTTCTAGTAAGCTGCGCTCACTCGCCGCAGGTATCACTGAAGAGCACTGGCTCGTTTTTGTAAGCCTTTGAACCGGATTGACCATGGTCGGCACGGCAGCAATAAGACCAACGGGCGCCATGGCTCAACCCCCACCCTGGACCAACAGACCGGGAATCCCAAACGCCAAACGCTACAACCCGTACCCTTGAACTCAAAACGACACTGTCCCGAAACCCTAAACCCTAAAGCCACCTTGCGTCTAAAGCCCCAAACACGAAAGCCACAAATCCTAAGCACAAAATCTCATAGCCTCAAACCGGTGTGAACGCTCTTTTGCGGGCAGAGCAAGCGAAGTCAGATTTCGGCATCTGACTGCAACCTGGGCCCCTGCTTCGCAGCAGGACAACCCAGGCCGAAGCGGGTACGCCTTCGGGTGTTGGGTTGTCGGGCGTACGGCGTGCTTGAGGCGGTTTTGAGGTTTAGGGATCTTGGGGCTTGGAGTTGGAGGGTAAAGGGTTGAGGGCTCAGGCTCAAAAGAGGTGCTGGTGAAGCTGCCCAATGCACTCAGAGGTCCTCCTCGTCGGGATCCTTGCGGCCATTGGCGATCATCCAGGATTCGAAGATGATTCTTGCTGTCAGTTTGCATTTCCTAGATAGGTGTCCAGCGAAAGCTTCCAAACCAAACCGTCAAAGCATTCAGCCTTACAACACACACCCATTCCTCCCTACGATTGGTTAGGTTGCCAATTGCAACATCGGTGACTACCAAATGGCTGAGACCACAAATTCAGAGCTCCAGCAAACCATCATTGCCCAACGCCAGGTTCTGCCGGGTTGACAGCCGCATCATAGCTGCCGGTCTGGAGTTAACAATCAACTACGAAAAGACGCAAATAGTGTGCTGTAGGCTTTGAGCATGAATGCTGAAGATGCAGACAGTCTTTACGAGTGCAACTGCTCCAGCTGCAGGACGAAAAGGGCCTGCTTGCCAAAAGCAGTTTTGCTTCTCATGCAAACTCTTAAACCCTAAACCCTAAACCCTAAACCCGCAAGCACCCTCTGCCCATCCCGTCCAGGAGGCCGCTTTCCACCGGATCCTCGCCTTCCTCTCTGCTCGTTCGGATCGTGGCTTCGGGGTGTTTCGTAGGGGGGTAGCAGGGTTTAGGGTTTAGGGTAGCCGGGTTTAGGGTTGAGGGGCTTTGGGGTTTAGGGTTTTATCGAGGGGCTGGATAGGGCTTCAGAGAGCGTGCTTCGAAGGGCCATGCTGGCTTGTGGAAGGGGTTTAGAAGTTTAGAAGTGGGGGTTCGGTTCGGGGCCCGGGGGTTTGGCGCTTGGGATTTGGCTTTGAAGTTTGGGTTGTTGGGGCTCTGAAGACACCGTGGGCTTAGGGCGTCGGACTCAGAGACGATAAAATGTAGGGGACTAAACACCTACCAATACTATCTTGAGGTTCCTCAATTGTAAGTTTGGTACACTCCACCCCGACACCCTATTCTAAATATTAAGGCCCCCTATATATCTAGGGCCTAGGGGTTGTCTCTTGAGGGCCCCGTGCTCATGGAATTTGGGGCCGCTGGGGGCCGAGCATCACTTGCGGCCTTCGGATCTGAAGCGTAGAAGCGGTTAAGCAGGTCACCCACCCTAAACCCTAAACCCTAAACCCCTAAACCCAGAACCCGAAGCTCAAGACGCAAAACCCCCCTAAACTGCCTAAACCGTCAACCCTAAACCCCAGACTCGAAATGGCCTAGACCTCAAGCCCTCAACCGCAAACCCTGAACTTTCCACCCTCAACCCTCAACCCTAAGCCCTAAACCCTTAACCCTTAACCCTACTTGTAAACCCTAAACCCTAAACCCTAAACCCTACTTGTAAACCCTAAACCCTAAACCCTACTTGTAAACCCTAACCCCTAAACCCTACTTGTAAACCCTAAACCCTACTTGTAAACCCTAAACCCTAAACCCCCGACCAGGGCCCATCTGCCTTTGGAGGAGGCGGCCTCTCGTCAAACTTGATGGCACACTCGCGATGTAGCCACCTCAAAAGAGAAGGGTTTAGGGTTTAGGGTTTAGGGTTAGTGTACTGCTTTACACGGTTGTTTGTTTTTGCGGCTCTGTAAGAGTCTTATACAAGGCTTGTTTAGGGTTCTACGAGAGTTGTATAAAGTCTTACAAAGCTCTGTAGGGGGCTTGTTCAACTGCTTCAGAGACCTCAAGACACTCAACAGAACTATCTGCGTCCCTCAGCACAAATGCCGAACTCCAGCCACCTTGAGAAGACGAAATTCTTCCCAAACCAACCCTGAACTGGACCCCGAACTCGTGGACCTGTCGCTGCCACCTAAGCCCTGACAGCCTAAACCCTTTCCTGAACTTTAGGGTTTAGGGGTTAGGGGTTAGGGTTTAGGGCTTAAGGGCTTAAGGGCTTAAGGGTTTAAGGGTTTAGGGGTTTAACTCCTAACTCCTCAAAGAGCTGAGCACTTTAGGTCTAGCTGTCCGAGGCACTGGATCATGTCCTCCGGCTGTCGGGAGCCCTGATACATGACCTGCCAGGACAAGGAGTACTGGAGACCAGAAGGCGTCTAGGCTTCGGGTTGAAGGTCTAACATTAGCGTTTCGGGTCCTCAGCTTTAGGGATTCGGTTCGTCTTCAGTGTTCCTGCTTGAAGGAATCACGAGCACGGTCATGCTACCGGGCTAGCAGATTCCTGAGCCGTAAGACCGAAGCCCCTAAACTTGGGACAAGGACCCCAACCCAAGCTTTCCCGGTACGGCCGGTGTGAGGTTCTGGGCTTCTGCAATGTATCAAGCACAGACTTCCGAAGACAGCAGCTCAGTGGGATACCTGATTCGAGAGCAGTTATACGGAATCAGGCAACAAGCACTCCGGCACAATTCCAACAGCAACCCCAAAAGGACTCGCCGAAAAAAGTGGTCAGGAAGGCAACACACACAACTCTTCGGGTATTCAACATCTTCGGGGCTGTAGTGCTGCATGGCTTCATTTTTGAGGGGGGTGGGTTGGGGCTACAGCCCAAACCCTAAGGCCTACACCCTGAACCCTAAAGCCAAAACCCGAAAACCTGACTCTAAATCCTCAACCGCAAACCGCCCTGAACCCTGAACCCTAAAGCCTAAACCCGAAATCCTAGACCCTAAACCCTAAACCCTGAATCCTAAACCCTACACTCGGAAACCCGAAAGCCTAGGCCCGAATCTCAGGACGAGGCGTGTCGCTTTGGGGATGCCCCCGCGGGGAAGAGCATGATGGTCGGGAAGCCCATGATCTGCATGCCCTCCACCTCGTTTAGGGCGTAGGGTTGAGGGTGTGTACCTCTGTGTGTAGGTTTCGGGTTTATGGTCTGGGATTGAGGCAATAGACTTCCAAGGACTTTGAAGCTTAATGCAGGGATTTAAGACTCTAGACACCTGGATCACAGCTTCAAGCACGGAAAAGTAGAATTCAACTGGCCCTCGCCAACCAGCCATTTAATTTACCCAAACAAAGAGCAACAATGACACCAACAACACCGCTTGCATTTTTCTGGAAACTTATGTCTGCGAGGTCAGAAGAAGTTAAACAGGAAGACCCCAGAGAATGCAGGTAGAGGAAGAACCCTGGACAGTCAACCCAAGTCAACCTGCAGAAAGGAAAAACGCATTTAATGCACCGTAGCATACCATGTTCACCGGAAGGTGGAGATGATCGGGGTCGAGCCCTGAGTTTTGAACTGACTCTTGGGCTTACGTGGGATGCCTCGTTGCGGGTCGCATCGATCTTCATGATCTTCAAGGATTTGACGTGCCGCAGCTTCCTTCCAATCGGCACCAAAAATGCCCAGGGAAGCGGGCGATGGATTCGCAAAGGAAGGAATCCTTCAAAGGCGTTCTTAAGCCTTCTTAAGGCGTCCTACCACAACGTTAGGAGTTTCCTTGTTCAGGATGAACTAGAGCCTTCTGTTCGGAAGTGTTGCTGTCTGGGGGGTCCAAAAACCCAAACCCGATGCCCAACACCAAACCTGCAAACTCAAGCCGAGACCCCAACACCTTCAACCCCAACACCCTATGATACTCTGCCCCAAAGCCCTGAACTGACAAACCAAAAACCCACCAAAAACCCAACAAACAGAACCTAAAAAATAAAAACTGCCTTCACTTGCCCCCCGCCCGCCCCCCCCCGCACCCCTCAAAGGGAAAAAAGGCCAGGCAGAAACTCAGGGGCCGGTGCTTTGCAAGGTCTTTGTAGAGCGGCTCGAACTTTCGACAGTGCCCGCACCTCGGGAGTCGGAAGCGGCTTATGGGGGTTTAGGGTTTAGGGGTTTAGGAGTTTCGGGTTTTTGGGTTTAGAGGGTTTATAGGGTTTATAGGGTTTATAGGGTTTATAGGGTTTAGGGTTTAGGGTTTATAGGGTTTAGGTGGTAGGTCGAAAGGCTCTTCTTAGGGTCTTGTGGCTTGGGATTGTCTTTCGGGCCTCCTGCAGCTTCTTTTCCTCCGTCCTCAGACAGCAGACCTCGCCTTAGATGGAACCTCGGCTATTGGAGCTCCATCCTGATTTCCCTCGGTGCGAGAGGCCCCGGGTCTGCCTTTCTGCGCTCTTTGCTGACCTTGTTCCTGTTCCTCGATGCTCAAAGGATCGATGCTCAAACGAAGATGTGGACTCCTACCTGCACATCCCTCCGACAGATGGGACAGGACCCACGCA